CTTCATTAAAAGCTTTAAAACACTTAATTAAAACTCATAAGTTATGAATATCCAAAAGTTTATGAATTGTTCAAAACTTGCCCTCAAGTTTTGTAATTTGGAAAAGTTTCACACACTTTAATAAACTTTAATTCCAACACTTAGAATTTTAAAAGTTAAAATTCAACACTTATACTATTTATAACATTAATGGTTAATTATATATATATATATATATATATATATATATATATATATATATATGAGAACAAGTCGTTTTACCGTTAGTAGGCCTCATTCACGAAGCCGGTCTATAAGGTGGGTATAAGGTTGTTGCCTATAAAATGGCGACTTAATGGGTGTCCACTCTCACCCACCGCTTGCTTGATCGGTGGAGGGTCGTTAGCCGAACGGGTAGGACAATGACTTTAAATTCTCATTAAAAGTATAATGATTATTATAAAGTAACTAAATATTTTTTTATTTAATTCCCAATCTTAGTTACTTTAGGAAAAATGTGAATTTGGTGCTAGCCCATGGAATTCACACTTTGTACCTTACCAAGTCGTTGGTGGAGCGTGTGTGGTTAACCGGCACACTAACTTGGACTAGTAAGGACCACGAAGGGTGACTTAATGTTTGTCATAGATCAATGGAGCATGTGTGGGTAACCGGCACATTGATTAGGTGATAATATTAAGGGTACCAAGTGAATTGGTATGGTTATTCACACCTTGTTTTGTGATCCTCGGCATCCCAGTCACAAAATTTGAGAGGGCACACTCGAGATTGAAACATGCCATTGAAAAGTTCAATGAATCTCAAAAGATCTAGGAATTTCAAATCCAATTAAAACCTAATTAATTATTTTGTTTTTCATGGTGGAAATTGGTGAATCGTCATTCGCCTACCTTCAAATATTTTATAGCTTGGATTACGACATCCCTCTTCCAAGTTATAAAATATTGTGTTGGGTCCTAGCCTTAATATTTCATATTGGGTGTTATATTAAGGACTTTGAATCAACTAACTTGATTTTCTCCCATTATAGATGTCTGGTTCAGACAACTATGATCTTCCCAAATCTCTTGAAGATGGTGTCACTCAACATCATGCTTCACTTCCTCCACGTCCTCCAATTATTCTCCCTCACCCACAAGTTCTTGAAAAGTTTAAAGTCACTCAATCCCTATTGGCAAGCATAGTCTATGTGTGCTCACATCTTGGAGATAAAGTCACATATTGACAAGCCAGGAGAGTTGGGTGTCAAAGTCTCGTGAAAGTTGGATGTTCAATCACTTTCTTAGTAACATAGTGAGTCTCTTTGGGACTACTATGAGGCAGATTATGACATGACCCTTAATGATGTTATCTATTTGCTTGGTGTTGTGGAATCAGCAATGATTTGGGACACCAGTAAAGAAAATTTTATTATAAGAACAACTTCCCAAGTCTTAAATGGACATTGACAATGGTAGCATTAGATATCTAGAAAAAGATTTCTCTTCCCAATTGAAAGGGATCAGCTATAGTCAACTCGGTTGACCAAATAGTAAAGAGAAAGGCAAATTCTGAGATAGTCTCATGTGCCATTACCAAAGGATCCATGTGTTTTGTTGCCAAAGGAAGGGACACTGATTGCGAAGCTGCCATATTTACCTGAAAGATCATAAGATTGATCAAGTTAAAAGGTTTGACTCTACTTCAGTTAAAGTCCACTGACTAACTCTATTAAGTTCCTATTTGGAGATTCTTATTACATAATGTGAATGGGTCACATGTTGATGTTTTTTTTTAAGAATCAAGGAAAAGATAGGAAGCTTAAAGTAAGTATATGTTGATTCTGATTGCGAAGGTGGGTTTCGATCGCATGGTTCGGTAATCAGAATTTTGAACTGTTGCTTAAGAGTTATAATATATTTCTTATGAATAGATAACAACAAGGTTTTCATGTGGATTGTAAGGATAAGTTTTACCGCAAAGTTTTAAAATAAAAGAAAAAAAAGGTTTTAATTTTATTTATTTTAAAATATCCTTACAATGGCATCTGTGGAAAATTGTTGCTTGTATGTTTCCAGTAATAGCAATATTGGAAAGTGGATTAGATTCTTTCATTTGTGGTACTGTCTGAATTTACCAAATGAAGAAAGTTTTTCATCACCCAAGTTTCAATTGGACAGAAACTTGGAATCATACAAGTTGTATTGTATGATGAATGAGAATTTTCATCTTTGAAAATTAAGACTAATTCTTTGATCACATGTATATGTGAGTCAATTGAAGGACTAAGGAATTAGGTACACTGGGTGTGCGCTGGTCAAGGTCCACCACAAAGATTGATTTGTCATGATTTACTAAAGATTAGTAAATATGATTAAACTTATGAGGTTAAGTATAATTCTGTAACATTGGAAAGGTTACAATGTATGACAAAACAAATGAGAAGAATCAAATTAGGCAGAAAGATAAAAGTTTCTCAAATCTGAAAGGATGGGAGAGTACTTTAGTATCGTATTTCATGATCATCTTAATGATTATGAAACCATATCACAAATTCATAATCTAAGGACGTCTTAGTGCATTGTTATGGCTAAGAAGAGAGGTCATGAATTGTTGGATTGGTTAAAATCAAGAAGATGAGTCATACTTCGTTCCAAAACAATTCTTAGAGTCATACTCCAAGATTGTAACCTTGAGTGACATAAAGGAAGATTTATTAACACTAGTCAAATGTAAGAGTAAAATGTTTTCTACTCTTGTACATTTGAGATTGGTAAGTTGTGATGTCTTGGATGACACAAAGACCAATTGTGTGAAATGTTAGTCTTGATAAGAATCCGCATTATCCCTTGAATATTTGTTTTGTCAAGGAATGGTTCTTGACTGGGGAAACTTATATGTCAAGGGGACAGTGGGAGCCTTAAAGATCTTGAAAGAGTTTCAAGATTTAATCAAGAGTAAAACTTGTAATTTATCACTAGCACACGACTTAAGGTTTGCAACCTATCGTGTTGACATAATTCTTATTTCTATACCTACTTCAAATAAGTTGAATTTGCATGTGAGTTATCAGAGTTCAACTTGGAAGCATTGGTGGGCCTTGTGCTACCAAGGTGACAAGAAACTAAGATTGAACAAGTTTAATCCATGTAAGGCTGAATTTGTCACTAACCTTATCTTGTGATTATGGTTTTGACAAATTCACATGGATAGGAACTCATACACTATAAAATCTAAGTGTCATAAGGTTTCTCTCCGATTCATGAAAATGATGGTGAGGAAACGCTTTCACTAAGTAGATTTTACGTAGATATCAATTGTGTTATTTGCATTTTCAAAAGTCGTTAGTGGAGCGTGTGTGGTTAACCGGCACACTAACATGGACTTGTGAGAAATGGTAAATGCCTAAGCAATTGAGACTGTGATTACGGCATCCCTTTTCATAGTTCTTAAAATTGTTGAGACACACATGTGAGCTATCTAAGAAAGGGTGTATGAAGCTAAATTTCAGAAGTCCAGCATATTTCTGGAAATATGTCAGAGCTAGTGGGAGCATAAGTGTTATGCTGATAATCATCATGTTAGTGGGAGCATGATTATTACGTTTAGTGTTGCAAGTTAGCAATGTTAATTGTAGAAAACAAAAGTTTCAATTCGTGAAGTTGCAGGGGTTGAAAAGTTGTTTTGCTATAATTAAGGGAGAGGAAATTATACTTCATTTCAATTCTAGAAGCTTAGATTGAGATTTTAATTATCTTTAGTCAAGGACATATATATGAATTTTATGTCTGAATGGTTCGACTTAAGGAAATTCTATATATATTGCGTTCTCAAAATTCAATTATGACTACGGCATCCCTCTTCATAGTTAAAATTTGAAAACATGGCAAATAAAAAATATTGTAGCAAAAGACTGGTCTAGTATCATGTCTTTATGTCAAACATCATGAATTGTGTCCCATATGCTTCGGATATAGGATCGATTTTATGTGCTATAATATTCATCCTTTCTAAATTTTCCAAATGCTCAGGGTATTTAGAAGGTAAAAGTCTAGAACTGGATATGACTAAAGTGATTAAGCAATTGTCGAGGACAAATCTGAGGTTCGCCAAAGATTGGTTGCTCAGGGAAAATTGGAAGTGTGATGTAAGTTGTCAGAAAGGACCGTATTGACATGTTCTGAAAAGAAGTAACTCTTGTTCAGAAGTGATAGTCAAAATGGGACTATGGAAATGTCTCCATAGGTGGAAGTTATTCAATCTATATAAGATTAGAAAACCTTAATTCAAGAAGGATGTTCAAAGCAATGTACTTTGAATATGAGACTTCCGTTGCATAGAAGTTGACCTTCTTTGGAATACTCTGTAATGACTGGTGACAAGAAAGGTCATGTCATAAATGAAGATGACACACATTTTTGCGTATTGTAATTTTATATGTTTAAAAAAATGATTTATAGATTTACTAATTTTCAAATTAAATTTGCATTTAATATCTCATAATAAATAAAATATCATATACAAAAATACAATCCATTGCATAAAATTTAATGTCATACAAATAATCGTTCCTTGGAAAGAAAAAAACAAATCAATAAAAGTTGTAACGGAAATTTACAACCTAATTACATACAAGAAATACGAAAAACTTGAAATCCCTCAGATTAATAGTTCTAATAGAAGCTTCACATGAGATACATACAGTTGGACTAGTAAGCAAGGATTTTCCCGAATCCACAATAGCAGCACAAGAACACGTACACGATATCTTCTGCAAGAAGGTGCCAGTCCAAAACTACTGTTGAAGGTTGCCATGATAGTTGTTAAGATTTAAGCATAACAAGAAACCAATCGGTGATTATAATAAGCTAGAAAATAAGCAACTAATAAACAATATAAGCAGCTAATTTATCCACACTAAAATCCGTTTTTCATTAATTCAACACCTCATATGATATGGCCTTAAAAACAAAAAAGGCAAGGCAAGCAGATACCTGAGAGACCAAAATGGAATTCATTGTTCATGGAGAATTTTCAGGGGTCTTCAAAGATGAAACAGCTGCTTTGTGTTCTGTAAACATAGCACGAAACTCATCAACAATGGAAGAAATAAACAAAAAAACATATAAAGGTAAAGTGATAGCATATACTCACCTTCCTCCCCAAACCCCTTTGTTGGTGAATGACTTGTCTAAAGGAGTATCTTTTACCAAGGACAATACAAAGAGGAACTTCAGAAGGAACAATACAACCTATTTCCTGACCATATGCAGCACAATCCAACCTAATACCCTTATTATTTGTTGTGCCACTATACATCCCTCCATACCTCAATATTGGATCCTGATCACGGGTCATCTGTTCAATCAAAGTATCTGCTTCCTCCTCCCTTCCATAAACAGTAAATGTAATCTGCAATGCCAACCCCCTAACATTAAAGAAATCCAAAATCATGTCATAACTAACTACTATTTAACATAATATTAAAAGGTGTTAATTGTAAATTCTTAATTCACCTTATGATCTTTTCATGTTGTGTCTCATGAGCATACACAAGCATCTCAGTTGCCTTCTCACTAGCGGTCCCCACCATTAACAACCCCTTGCTGATACCGACAGCTTCACATCACTGTCTGTATAGACACATCATACAAAGGAAACAAGGGATTATGTAGGTTTCCTCTTAGTATAACTTGCACTACTTCATAAAATAATGAAAGAACATATGATAGATTCGCTTGAGCACTTGTAAAATTCTTGCAAGAGCTTCATCAACTTCACTTTCATCCAATTTAGTTCAGATAATGATTTATTACCTCTGCATCTTAATTCTTTACAACTTGAAGCAAAAAAATGATATCTTTCCATCAAAATAAGATTCTCCTTGTCCATCTTCCCCTACACCCACATATTCAAAGTAACCGACTTTTTAATTAAATTACAAAAATGGTCCCTATGCTTGCTGATCTTTAACATGTTTACTCCAAAATTGAAACTTTTTTAATCTAAAATCAAGAATTTGGGTACAAACTAAATGTAATGTAAAAGATCTTACTCTTTCTGTATCATCAAGAATTAGAACAACAGTTTCTTGAACAAGTACCACATCAAGGGTTTTGTGATGCTTTTTAGGGCAATCAGTTAGAGCAATCACTCTTGAATCAAAGTAAACCTTTTTGAGGTCAAACAGATTAACCATTTCAAGAGCATAAAAAAGTTCTTCCTTGCTGTAATGGATTAAACCAAGAGCATAAAGTGCAGCCCTTTCTGAATAGGGACTACCACCTCCACCACCACCACCCGCCCCACTTTGTGGAAGGTAAGGTGCCCTTTGTGATTTTCCTTGTTGTAAATGGCCTCCGTAGATAACATCTAGTCCAGCCGTCGCACTGAACTTAACCCAATTTGTTGCCCTGCTTAGCCGATCCTGAAATCGTATCCAAACATAATCCAAAAACCTAAGTGGTGGAATTTGTGTCAAAGTAATTTGTTCTTATGTGTTTTGCAAGAGTTCGAACACACTCCAATTCCAACTTACATTTCCTTGATTCTGAAAATGATGAAGACTTTTTTACATCAAAAGAAAAGCATAAGCAGTGAATCACATCTTTTCCAGCATATTTTTTGCTTGAAGTATTCGATAATTGGATGTCGTTGAACATTGAAAACATAAACCGTGAACACTTTTCAGGGTCTATAAGTGCATTAATGGCAAAAAGAACACCTTCTTTAACAAAAGGTCCCATGAAAACCTCACTATTCTTTTTTAGGATATTGTCAGAAATATTAAGAGTTAGCATTAGTACACGTATATCCTTCCTAGTGAACACTCCAGCCAAAAACCTGAGAAATTATCAACATGAAACCATTAAAACTGAAGAGAAATTTGATAGAAAAAAGTATAGTCGAGTATCAAGAATTTAAGATTATGTCCCCTTGAAATGTTGGTGCTTTTAAGCAAATCAAGAAGCATATCAGAGTTACTGTAATAAGGTAACTTGTCAACAACAGATAGACACCCATAACAGATATATAAATCCACCCCAGAATAAACAACCTGTTCAGAAATGAGAAGAAAAGAAAGGGTATATCAAGGAAATTGTAAAAGTTAGCAAGAAACCAGTACAACATGATTGACAAATGATAACCAACCTGGATCAAGACATGTAATAAATCATTCCAAAATTTCTCTACAAGATCAGGATGAGTCACCAAGAAAGCTTCTTTTTTTGCAGCTAATGGAACTTCTTGATTTCTGGATACAACAGGTAGAAGCTGAATCAACAACTTCAAAACTTCATGCATTTGATTATAATGTCCATCAATTGTTCGAGGGGAAGGGACTCCATGTGAAAGGTCATATATTGACAAGATCTCTTTCAAAATGCTACTTATATTAAGATCAAAAAGTGTCTTCACAGCCACCATAGAACCAAAAGCAAGTTTAACAAGTAGTCCAATTAAACCCTACATAAAAATACACAAGAGTTCTTCAAAAAAAATTGAAAACAAAACAAAAATTGCTAAAAATAAAAGAAGATGGACATACAGTATGAACAGAATAAGATAGAGTGGTATGGTTGATCAGGTCTATATGATATTCCACTTGATGAATCAATCCATGTTTAGAATGTTCATCAAGCATTTCACTGGATTCTTGTACTCTTTCTGCTATTTTAATTAAGCATGTAGCAACATGTTCAACAAGCTGCAATTGCAAGAATATGTCAGTAAAGTACAAAAGGTTACAAGAAAGACCATAATTATATTTATACCTGATTGTCTTAGCTGCAATCACAAGAATCAGAAGAAGTTGAAATCAATGAGGTTTTTGTAGCTTCTAGAGCGATATGCCATAGCTGGCGTAAAGCCTGTCACATATTCAATTTTTTATTAATTAAGTAAAATGACATAAGGGTATATTTGGAAACATTATGGATTTAAAATGTTGTATTACCATCATTGTTGTTTTTTTGAGCAAGAATAGTTGGAGATCATATAAAGGACGCAAGACTTTAGGTACCCTCCATGCCTAGTGAATGATATAATAAAGTAATTTAGAATATAAATGGAGTTTAAATATGAATATATTTGAATCTAGATATAGTATATAGTAAAATGACATAATGATATAATAAAGTAATTTAGAATATAAATGGCTGCTTACCTCTACATTTACTTTGTCATAAAGCTCAAGCTTAAGATCATACTCATGCTGACCAGCTGAAGCAGATAATGTAAAAACACCTTCTGGAGCAAGATTCACTTTTGCATCTTTTGTATCCGCCAATAAAATTGTGATATAAACTTTATCCTCTCTCTGAGCCCACTTAATTTCTGGATGACGACTACAAAGCTCAATATATTTTTGAATTTATTTGGATACACCAATCATTGAACAAAGCACAAGAAAGCATAAATATGTAAAACTAATAAATCAACTGTTTTCTAATTCTCACCATTGCAACACAGAGAACCCAATTCTTGTGCCCTGAATAGATATGTAAAAATATAACAATTTGTTTGGCTTTTGTGATTATGAAGTTATGATAATAACCATCATATTCACTACAAGGAACTTGGCTTCACTGAAACTGTATACCACTTACGATTGTGAGCTGAAAGAGCAGAATTTGTAACTGCAAATTGAGTAGAAAGAATAATAGATATTTTATTAATCAAAATTGTGTTTACAAAACACAGAAGCAGTATAAGAAGAAGAAATCAGAAAAAAATTGTACCTAAGTGTTAAGGAGAGAGCCACTGACCAGAGAAACCGCCTGAAGGGGCTACCAACGCTGTAAGATGATAGAATCGACAGATGACGTGATTCTCTCATCTGTATGAACTCAAAAAGAAACAAACATTACCTTTTTTTTTTACATTTTCCAAACCAAACATTGTGGATTCGTCATTGGAGCAATCGAAGTGCATATACACAACTTTTATGAAAAAACCCTAAGTCGTCGGTGTCTTAGTCGATAACTTGTACCAAAACCCTAAATCGCTATGAGAGAGGAGTGAGGCCTGAATCACTTTCATTGAGATGGGATATCTTGAAGCAGAGATGTATAGCGGTCTAATAGGGTGGGGATACTTTACTCATGCGACACAACCGGACGAATCAAGGGTATCGAGCTAACGCACAGGAAATCGATTGAAGCAATTGCTTTCGAATTTTGATATGGTTGAAATTGAAATTTTGGAAACTGGAAGAACTGTGAAAGAAGTTGAGAAATTAGCACTAGATTCTGTTTATTTGGGCTTTTTACAAGTAACTCAAAGGCTTATTTGGGCTAGAGGATCGGGGGGAAGGGACAGAGGAAGGAAAAGGGGAAATGCAACGATTAGGGGTTTTATAGGGTTACTGCATCGTTCTTTGCTCTCTGCATTTTTCATATTTAGAAGAATGCTTTGGAGTAGAATCCTTGTTGTTCATTTTTTAAGTGTTAGGGTTTATTGCATCGTTCATTTTTTGAGTGTTAGGGGTATCTAGAGGTTGGTCAAGAGGGCCTGAACATCATCGTCGTGTGATGCCTGAAGAGTTGGTGTGGGTTGGAGGTAGTGGAGGTGGGTGAGGGGCGGAGACAAAGGAGAGGAGATGTTAGAGAACAGATCGATACGAATGTAGGAGAAGAAAGAGAGGTTTAAAATTTTTGGGGATTTCATTTTCCCTCTAAGAAGAGAGATGCGTGCTTCATAAAAAAAATATAAAACGACATTCACAGAGGACGCACATTTTAGATAAAGTGCCCTCCGTGTTTTTAATTTTTTTTATATGAGACACTAATTTAAGGGCACGCAATAATGCGTGTCCACTATCCTTAAATTTTTCAATAGATAACACTTTTTTAATGTCACTCTCTTTTGTGTAACATAAATCAACGAGTGTCGTGGTTTGCGCATCGTAAAAGGGTCTTTTTCTTGTAGTGTGTGTGTGTGTGTGTGTGTGTGTGTGTGTGTGTATATATATAGAGAGAGAGAGAGAGACGTATGTTCAAATGAGAACAATTCTAAATTTGAGAACAAATGAGAACAATTTTATACCACCTATTCGTTAAATGAAGAAAAAAAAGGCGTGTCATTTATGTTTTACTTAACGGAAGGGCTTATGTGTAACTTAACATTTCTATTCTCCATGCTTTGCTTATTCTCGCACAAAGCAGCGGCACCCCACTCTGATCCTTCCCTCCGCTCAATACCGCATACTCCTGTTAAACTGAAAGACGCCATCAGTCACTAGCGGAGTTTACCGCCACTGGAATCGAGAAGCTGATTTTTGATGAAATCAAGAAGATAATTGATGTATTGGATCAATCGAAAAAGGGAAAAGAGATGTCAATCGTTTAGTTCAAAGGAGCTGAAGACCCTGTTCTCATATGCGAGCTGAATTTAGATGATCAAAATGCATTGTTTCTACGATTTTGTCAGATAGATATTCAGTTGTTGAATGCTAGGAATATATTGGCCGTCGTCGGAATCACCAAAGATATCTCTTCACTCTCTCATGATCCACTTGTCAACGACGACCTCCACCTTCACTTTTCTCCTCCTCGAAAATCAAAATTAAACATCAATGTTAAGCATCATCAAACTCTTTCTCTTCTTTTTTGCTTACATACATAAAACTACATTGAATCTAATTTTACATCTATTAGACTCCTGGAATATTGTAATAAGGGACGAAAATGTCCAGAGTCCTAAAAAGTTCCATTCGCGAATCTTTAATTATCCTGTTGACACTCTTTTACATGGCATGGATCTCGGAAGAAACTTCAAGACATGTTTAGATACATATCTATCATCATAATTAAATAAGAAAAAATCAGAATTTATTTTATTACGGAAAAATTTGTCCTTACAATGCAATTCAATTGAAAAACTATGTTATTACAAATTTCTTAGCAATCTATTCTAACTCCAAGTAGTAGCTCAAGAATCCAATCTTCAAGCAATGCGATTGAAATCCATTACTTCATGATTAGATTCAGCTCAATTCTTCCCTTAAGCTTCCTCTCTTTTCTTCGATCCTACAAAACTTCAAAATGTAATCTTATCACATCATGTATTAAGAATCTAGAATAGGAACTTAAAAGAGTTAGTTAATGGATTTTACCTGAAGTGGAGCCATGCTTCTTGACTCTCCCATCTCTTAGATCTTTCAGGTAAATAGGGCAGCTTCATCTCCAATGCCCCTTCTCTTAGTAATAAAAGAAAATGGACTCTTTTGGAATGACACAAGGAACAATCTCAGAATTTACCTTTTCTGGATCTACAATGTCACCATTTTCAATTTCCATTGATGTTTGGAAGTTTGATTCACCAGACAAATTTTCTTGACCAGCTCACCAAATCATCGCTGATTCAGCAGTTATAAGCAAATAGGTCAAATCAATGAGGGTCGCGTCATGATCCATCATACAGTACTCTCTAACGAACTCACTATATGATTTAGGAAGTGACTGAAGAACCCAATCAACAGCCAACACACTTGAAATCTCGACACCCAACATCCTTAACCTATCAATGTGTGACTTCATCTCTAAGACGTATGCACACACAGACTTTCCATCTTCATGCTTAATTGCCAATAGGGCTTGAGTAAGCTTGAACTTTTCATGCCTTCGAACTTGCGGGTTAGGGAGAACAATTGGAGGAGGTAGAGGAAGTGAAGCATGATTTCTTGTTCCTCTATCATATCATGGAATATCATCATCGTTTGGAAAGCTTGTTCCATGGAATTTGGGAAGACCATGATTGTCAAAACTAGACATCTACAAAACGGAGGGAAATTCAAGTTGATTAAAATCCTTCATGTAACACCCAAATGAAACATCAAGGCTAGGATCCAACACAATACTCTACAACCTAGAAGAGGGATGCCGTAATCTAGTTGCAGAATATTTGAAGGTAGGTAAATGACGATTTACCAATTTCCACCATGAAAAATGAAAAATAAGTTTAAGTTTTAAATTAATTGAAACCCCTAGATCTTTTGAGATTCATTGAACTTTTCAATGGAATATTTAATCACGATTATGCCCTTATATTTGTGATTGGGGTGCCGAGGATCACAAACAAGGTATGAATAACCATATGAATCATGTGGTGCACCCAATGCTACTATCACCTAATAAATTTGTCGGTTAGCTACACTGATCCATTGATCTATGATAAATATCGAGCCACCCTTCGCTACCAATGTCATCCCCAAATTAGTGTGTCGGTTAACCACACACGCTCCACTAATGTTTGACAAGGGTACGAAGTGTAATTCCATGGATTAGCATACAATTTCACATTTTGCCCAAAGTAACTAGAATTTGGGAATTTGTAAGAGCATGTAATTACTTTGTACTTCATTATACTTATAATGAAAGGTTTCTGTCCTATCCTACCCGTTCGGCTAACGACCCTCCACTAGTCAATAGTGCGGTAGGTAAGAGTGGATACCCATTCAATCGATATTTTATAGGCAATTTCCTTAAACACCCCTTATGGACCAGCTTCGTGAATAAGGCCTACTAACGGTAAGACTGACTCTTTACTCATATATATAATATTAGATTTTAATGTTACATATATATATATATATATATATATATATATAGTATTGGGTGTATTTTAAAACAATACTAGGGTTTTATATTTTAACATTTCTGTAACATCCCGGAATCGCAAGAGTAGAGTTGAAGGGCTAAAAGTGTAAGTTTCAGAGGTGACTCGGCGAGTCCATGGATAGACTCGGCGAGTCAGGTCGCGACTATGGTCGTGTATCAAGTGGCCTACTCGGCGAGTCCAAAGATGGACTCGGCGAGTAGGTGCTGTATGGAGAAAACCCTAATTTTCGGGGTTGAGCCCTATATAAAGAGCATTATGCCCCTCCACAGCCTCCCTTATTCCCCCTTGAGTCCCAGAAACCCTAAATTCGTGGAGAGTCCCATTATTGAGAAAATTAGAGCTTGGAGAGGTGTTGGTTGAAGAAATCTTGAAGGAGAAGTGGCTTGGATCAAAGGGCTTTGCTTGGATTCGAGTTTCATTGGTATTGAGGCATCTTTTGGAGGTAATACTTTCATTCTTGGGCTGTGTTTTCCTAGTTTCTCATTTTAGGGTTGTGTGGGGTGCTTGGTTGTGTGGCATCTTGATGTTTGGAGGATGGATCTGAGGTTCCTACCTCAGATCTGGAGTGGAGAAGATCTTAAGAGCATTAAAGCCCCGGTTCTTGTGTTGTTAATGGAGCTACCATGTCCCAAACCTTGGTTCTAAGGTGAATAAGGCCTAGATCTCTTTAGATTCACGTAAAGTTTGCCACTTTACGTGATGGATGGATTGTAGGAGGTTGGATCTATGTTTTGGATCAATTGCATGGCCTGAGATGCTTCTATATAGATTCAGACCGGTGGTACTCGACGAGTCACATGGGTGGACTCGACGAGTTGCTTGAAGATGGCCTGGAACTCGACGAGTTGGAAGAACAACTCGGCGAGTAGGTTGAAGATAGCCTTGGACTCGACGAGTTACACTGTTTTAGACCTTACTAGTTGTGTAAAATAAATTGCAAAACAACCTTTTCCTTCAAATATAAAATATTTGAAAACGAGCGCCTTTAAAACATTACCAAATAAACTCGGAAACGTTTGAAAGTCCGAGAACGGTTACTTTGCGGTTATTCACGAAGAGCTTCACCAAAAGAACCAAGATCGGGATCACGCTTCGAAAGTGAGTTTCTATGGCTTCTCTTTTATGGTTTCAATATTTGGGGCAGAGTATATGCGTGTCTATTAAAGTTTGATGATTTTCAAGTTTTATAAACAAATTAACATCTTACTTTGTTATTGGTCAAACAATTATGAAATAGCAATCTAAAGATGTGATAAATCACTAGCAAATCTATTAAGTTAAAGCAGATTGTTATAAGCTGATATAATTATACTTTATGTGAAATATAAATATAATTATTAAGAAAAATCAAAAAATTATAAGTAGATTGCTATAATTACACAAGTGGATATTATAAGTCAAAAAAATGATGACTTTCTGTTATAAGCTGATATAATTATACTTTATGTGAAATATAAATATAATTATTAAGAAAAATCGAAAGACT